TAAGGGAAATTCTTGACTTACGAATCTTTCGACATTCTTTGAAAAGGTTACTGCTTATGTAGATGAGGGTAAGAGTGTAAATTTGGTGTATCTGGATTTTCAGAAAGCATTTGACAAGGTGCCACGTAAAAGGCTTGAAAAAATTATCTCTTTAGGTGTGGGGGATAAATTAGAAAATTGGATAGAAGAGTGGCTGGATGGAAGAAAACAGAGGGTTGTTACAAATGGAGATCAGTCAAACTGGATTAATGTCACAAGTGGGGTACCTCAGGGCTCAGTCTTAGGACTTTTGTTTTTTTTCATTTAGATCAATGATATAGATGAAGGAATGGTCAATAAATTACTTAATTTCCAGAAGATATTAAGGTTTTGGGTGTAGCTAGCTCTAAAGATGCTGCTGATTTACAAGAGGATTTAGATCATTTAGTGAGTTGGGCACATAAATGGTAGATGGGTTGAAATTATAATAAATACAAGATAATGCATGTGGATTATCATAATTTGAATTATAAGTATAATTGGATGGGAATAACCTTAACAGTGTTGTGAAAGAAAGGGATCTTGGTGTAATAGTTGATTAGTCTCTAAAGCCATCCAAACAGTGTACTGTTGCTAGTGGTAGGGCAGATAGGATTTAGGGTTTTATCTCGAGCAGGGTGAAGGAGGATTGATAATCTTGAAACACTCTTGGTGAGCAATAGGTTTTCTCTACACTATTAACTTTACACCAAAATAACTGCCATAGACACACAGAGCCCCTTTCCTCTTGTTCAGACTCTCTCAAACATATAATGTCATCTTCTATCAAGCTCAACCCATGTACAGCCCACACCACTATCACGAGTGGGGCGAAGAGAAGCAGAAGCTTCTGAGCACCTCTGGTAATCCTCGGGGTTTCACCTCGGTGGTTTTTTATACCAAAATTCCTGCCACGATTTTGACTTGATTTGACACACTGACCTGAGTAACGACCCTGGTAATCCAAGTTAACCAATAAGCTTGTTAAACAATATAGGCAAATTAATGGAGAAAATAGTCACAACAAGATTGAATCCAATAAGCTCCTCTCCGACACACAATACGCGTCACGCAAACAACAACAAACAATTAACCATTTAGCCAGATTAACAGAGTCAATACACAATGGATTTAATCGTAACTTAGCAACAGTCGGAGTATTCCCGGATGTCAGGAAAACTTTCAATTCTATTTGGCACAACGGTCTTAAATATGAACTATGTAACTACAGAATACCTATCCCAGTTATTAAATGGATCTCAATTTCCCTAATTAAGAGAGCCGTGAAAGTCAAGATTAATAGCAACATTGCTGTATGAAGCACGTCACGCAACCCCTACTGTCAGAAAACAAAATACAAGCTACTCTAAGCCACATTGTCACGTGGTGCAACACATGGCGCGTGCTGCTTAATACACAGAAAAAAACAAGCCATTATCTTCTACCGCAGACATAAGCAAAACAAGAACCAAATAAAAGTTTTTGGTTTAACCTTCAATAGAAAGCTAACCTGTAATATACATCTCTCAGAAAATAACAATCAAGGCACAACAACGGATAAATTATCTTTAAAAAATCAATAGCTTCTCTAAAGGCTGCAATCGATAATGACGATATACAATGCTTATATAACACGTATTCTGGAATAAGGATGTCCAGTAACATGCAACATCTTTACAAAAAACTAGAATCTACCCAGCTAAAAGGAATACGACTAGCCTAAAATAGGCAAATCAACGACGTTACATACACTCTTCTCAACCCTAGCAAACAAGAACTACGGTAAGCCTAAAAACAGAAATAACCTATTCACAAAACTCGCCAATATCGCAGAAACTCCAGCCAACTGGACCTAATTCATCTCTCACTCCAACAACCACCTTGAGCGTTTTGCCTTGTATCTCTCCACCCTCTTTTTCAGGTTACCGAAAAGAACGAACAACGGACCAAATGTGTTTATTACTAGTTATATGTACTGCAAAAATAGTGAAACTGTTATGTTGAGATCATTAAATGTTCTCTGTTCTAGTACTATGTATTGACAGAGTGTATTTAAAGTTATTGTGTGTATGTAAAGTATCGCATTCATTCTACCCTAAAAAAAAATCTGTTCCATTTAAATGATTGTATGTAAAAATAGTTATCTGTAATTGTCTTTTGTGATGCAATAAACTCTGGTTCTGGTTCTTTCTGGGACTACGTGCGTGGGCCCCCAGGGACTGACCTCGGCTGTCTGGATCTACTGCTGGATTGGTTGATCAATCGTCAGACTTGAAGCTCCAATCAACTTCTCTTCAAATCATTATCAAGAAAGCAACCGTTCTTTCAATCTTCTTCTTAGCTTTCCCTCACGCTTGAACCACAGGAGATCAAAAGTTCAGAGAAACCACTATTATATCTGCTAAAATTATCGTTAGCCAGGGAAGAGAAATAACATTAATTTATGAACACCCCTAGGTTTACTACTAAACCTAAAATTTCTAAATGTGCTTCCATACGGAAACATGTGACAACTATATGTGATAGTATCATTTTTCTGTTGTAGATCACTCCTAAAAAACATGCAATATTTCAACCTTATCTAATTGTAGACTAGTATTGAAACACACTATAACTATACGTTGTACTATAACAGTATCTAATTGTAGACCAGTATTGAAACACACTATAACCACACGTTGTACTATAACAATGTTTCACTGTAAACCAGTATTGAAACACACTATAACCACACGTTGTACTATAACAATGTTTCACTGTAGACCTGTATTGAAACACACTATAACCACACGTTGTACTATAACAGTTTTTCATTGTAAACCAGTATTAAAACACACTATAAGCACAAGTTGTACTATAACAGTATCTAATTGTAGACCAGTATTGAAACATACTATAACTACACGTTTTACTATAACAGTATCTAATTGTAGACCTGTATTGAAACACACTATAACCACACGTTGTACTATAACAGTTTTTCATTGTAGACCAGTATTAAAACACACTATAAGCACAAGTTGTACTATAACAGTATCTAATTGTAGACCAGTATTGAAACACACTATAACCACACGTTGTATTATAATAGTGTTTCACTGTAGACCAGTATTGAAACACACTATAACCACACGTTGTACTATAACAATGTTTCATTGTAGACTAGTATTAAAACACACTATAACTACACGTTGTACTATAAAAGTATCTAATTGTAGACCAGTATTGAAACACACTATAACCACACGTCATGTGGATCAATACCGAAACATTCGTAATGCTACAACAGTATCTAGCTGTGGATCAATATCGAAATATTCGTAATGTTACAGCAGTATCTAACTGTGGATCAATACCAAAATATTCGCAATGCTACAACAGTATCTAGCTGTGGACCAATACCGAAACATTCGTAATGCTACAACAGTATCTAGCTGTGGATCAATATCGAAATATTCGCAATGCTACAACAGTATCTAGCTGTGGATCAATACCGAAACATTCATAATGTTACAACAGTATCTAACTGTGGATCAATACCGAAATATTCATAATGTTACAACAGTATCTAACTGTGGATCAATACCGAAACACGTAACAAAAAATTCGAGACTACAATACCTTGTTGTACGATAATTCGGTAACACGAGAAACACATGAAATATTACAACAATATATAAATATAATCCAAAACCGAAGCACGTGACAAACGCTTGTGATAACATAACAAGTTCTAATTGTTATGTAGTACCGGCACATAAAACAAACATACATGATACTATTGGCATGCCTAATTCTACACCAGTAGCGATAAACATAATAAACCAGTGCGATACAACAACAATGTCACAGTATAGAACAATGCCAAAACACATAACCAGTGTTAGGACAACACGTAAGTTCGAGAAATATATTTAACGCATAATATCAGCATGTGATATTATAAAGATACCTAATTATAGACCGATTCCGGTAACCATCAGAACTCATGCGATACTACAACAATAAATATTTGTATACCAATATCGAAACCCATAATAAACACATAACATACAATAAACTCGAATACCCTACGACATTATAAACACGTGACATAGAGCAATGTCTAATTGTAAACCAACAATGAATCATATCATGATCAGATGCAATACTACATCTCCAACACCGAAACACACGATGTCCACATTCAATACCGAAAGATATCATCAGAAAATGCGATACACTAACAATGAATAATTGTAGACCATTAATATACCACATGATGTACACATACGATACTGTAATAATGTCTAATTGTAGACCATTACCATATCACATGGTAAACACATACGATACTGTAACAATGTTTAATTGTAGACCATTTATATACCACATGATAAACACATACGATACTGTAACAATGACTAATTGTAGACCATTAATATACCACATGATAAACACATGCGATGCTGTAACAATGACTAATTGTAGACCATTAACATACCACATGATAAACACATGCGATACTGTAACAATGACTAATTGTAGACCATTAACATACCACATGATAAACACATGCGATACTGTAACAATGTTAATTGTAGACCATTAATATACCACATGATAAACACATGCGATACTGTAACAATGACTAATTGTAGACCATTAACATATCACATGGTAAACACATACGATACTGTAACAATGTTTAATTGCAGACTATTAACATACCACATGATAAACACATGTGATACTGTAACAATGACTAATTGTAGACCATTAACATACCACATGATAAACACATGCGATACTGTAACAATGTTTAATTGTAGACCATTAACATACCACATGATAAACACATGCGATACTGTAACAATGACTAATTGTAGACCATTAATATACCACATGATAAACACATGCGATACTGTAACAATTACTAATTGTAGACCATTAACATACCTCATAATAAACACATACGATACTGTAACAATGTTTAATTGTAGACCATTAACATACCTCATAATAAACACATGCGATACTGTAACAATTTTTAATTGTAGACCATTAACATACCACATGATAAACACATGCGATACTGTAACAATGACTAATTGTAGACCATTAACATACCACATGGTAAACACATACGATACTGTAACAATGTTTAATTGTAGACCATTAACATACCACATGGTAAACACAAAAACAGTTGATATTATAAACATAAATAATACTTCAATTATGTTTAATTCTTTAACAGTAAGAAAACACATGATGACTACATTTGATACTACAATAGGGTATAATTTAAGACATACACTGAAATACGTGATAAACACACGCGATGCTACAACAGTGTCTTAGTGTAGATCAATACCTAATATATATATTAATACCATGATTAAGAAAAATGATAATACAACAATATTGAAACACATCCGTTATTACAACAATGTCTAATTCGTCATCAATATCGATACAAATATAACGAATAAGTAATACTACAACAATGTACAAGTGTATTTCAATATCTAATATTATTATACCAACATGTGATACTACAGTAATACTTAAGTATAGGCCAATAACGAAATAACTCATCAACAAATGTGATACCACAAGAGTACCTAATTTTAGACCAAAACAAATAATAAACACATGCAATACTCCAGCATTATGTAATTTTAAGACAATCCCAAAACGCATTATAAACACCAGCATTATGTAATTTTAAGACAATCCCAAAACGCATTATAAACACCAGCATTACTACATCATTGTTTTAGTTAAATCAATGCGGAAAGACATGACAAACACATGTGATACTACAACAGAGTCTAATTATAGACCAACATTAAAAATAAGCTATACCGCAACAACGTCTAGCTTTAGACTTATAATAGAATAAACATATGATACTAAAAGTATGCTTAATTATAGATCAACGCCGAAAAATAGGAGAAAAATATGCAATACTACAACAATATCTAAGCACATACCAATAATGAAAGACATAACAAATACATGTCATATTACAACAATATCTAATAGTAGACTAAAACCGAAACATGCGATTCTACAACAATATCTAATAGTAGACTAAAACCGAAACATGCGATTCTACAACAATATCTAATAGTAGACTAATACCGAAACACATGATAGAAACATGCTATATTACAACAATATCTAATAGTAGACTAATACCGAAACACATGATAGAAACATGCGATACTACAACAATATCTAATAGTAGACTAATACCGAAACACATGATAGAAACATGCGATACTACTACAATATCTAATAGTAGACTAATACTGAAACACATGATAGAAACATGCGATACCACAACAATATCTAATAGTAGACTAATACCAAAACATATGATAGAAACATGCGATACTACAACAATATCTAATAGTAAACATGCGATACTACAAGAATATCTAATAGTAGACTAATATCGAAACACATGATAGAAACATGCGATACTATAACAATATCTAATAGTAGACTAATACCGAAACACATGATAGAAACATGCGATACTACTACAATATCTAATAGTAGACTAATTCCGAAACACATGATAGAAACATGTGATACTACAACAATATCTAATAGTAGACTAATACCAAAACATATGATAGATACATGCGATACTTCAACAATATATAAGTAAAGTCTAATATCAAAAGAAATAATAAACATACACTTGAATAAAGTTCCAAATATCCTTGCGATATAACTACAACAATGTCTTATCGTCTTTCAATACCGAAACACATTACAAAAATTGAAATTACAATGTTCCATTGTTGAATAATATCGAGAAACATGTTAAACACGTGTCATACTTAAATAGTGTCTAGGTGTAGTGCAGTACCGAAACACATAACAAAATTATCCGATACTACAACAATGTGTACTTGTAAACCATTACCAAAAGGAATGATGAACATAATGTGATACTACAACAGTGCCCACCTGTATACTAACACCAAATTAGTTACGATACTTTTACGGGGTCTAATCGTAGACCAATATCTAAACATATAATAAGCACAGAGTAGACTACAATAATTTCATGTTAAAGACAAATACCGAAACACATGAGGCACTAAAAACAATCTATTAAAAAATTAATACCAAAATAATACATAAAAACGTACGATACTACAACAATAGCAATTGGAAATGAATATCGAAACTCATGAAAAAAACAACAACAATACTTCAACAATATATAAGTATAAGCCATACCGAAACATATGATAAACACATGCGATACTCCAACAGTGTCTTATTGTAGACCAGCAATGAAACTATAAATATCTAAGTGTAGAATAAAACCGAAACACACAAAATAATAAACTTCATAGTAGAATAATGCCCTTACATATTTCAATATGCTATGTAATTCGTTTATTAGTAGAACAATTAATGTAGAGGCTTTACAAAGTTATAGAAAAAGCTACATGCTGCAAACATCACAATAGAACAAAAATGTATAGAAACTATATAATATACCAAAGTAAACTTAATATTTCATCTACAAAAAAAAATATTACGACGTCTGATATAGCAGAAAATGTAATAATCTAAATTATCCTGGAATAAAAGAAATGTACCTTGATGATTTTGTCTTGGTATTTGGTTATTGAGGTAATCTCCTTCTGGAAAACTGGCGTTACTAGTTATGTTATCAACTTTGGATTGATAAGGGTGATAAGAATTGTCTGGATTATTATTATATGATCCTGTCACTCCAGAATCAATAAAACCATTTTTTCCTGGTGTTTCACCACCAACGTAATCACCTTGTGGAAAGCTGGCGTTATCAGTGGTGTTATCCCTCTTGTATTGATAAGGATAATACACATTGTCTGGATTATTAGTATTATATGATCCTGTCACTCCCGAATCATTAACACCATTTTGTCCTGGTGCTTCACCACCAACGTAACCTCCTTCTGAAAAGCTAGTATTACCAGTGGTGTTATCCAACTTGGATTGATAAGGATAATAAACAAATAACACCATTTTGTCCTGGTGTTTCACCACCAACGTAACCTCCTTCTGAAAAGCTAGTATTACCAGTGCCACCAGAAGGTTTTGGTAATGCTACTGGAAAACCAGGTGTAACAGGTTCGTCTACCAATAGTATAGACAATGTTTACAATACATCAGGAAACACCAGTTTACCACCGGAAGGTGCTAGTAATATTACTGGCGAGCCGAATGTAACAGGTTCATCTACTAATACTATAGACAATGTTTACGATACATCAGGAAACACCAGTTTACGACCAGAAGGTGTTAGTAATGTTACTGTAGAATCAGGTGTAACAGGTTCGTCTACCAATAGTATAAACAATGTTTACGATACATCAGGAAACACCATTTTACCACCAGAGATTGCTAGTAATGTTACCAGAGATAATCTAGACAATGTGTATTACCCTGATCAATTCCTGTGGGATAATAACACTGGTAACGCCAGTTTTCCTAAATGGGAAAACGTAGGTAGTCAATCACCAATACAGAATGATCCGTTATATTCTGATGTGACAGGATCATTTAATAATAATTCAAACAGCTCTTATTATCCTTATCAATCCAAGTGGGATAACACCACTGGTAATGCCAGTTTTCCAGAAGGTGATTCCGTTGGTGGTGAAACAAAACTGGTGTTTTCTGATGTATCGTAAACATTGTCTATACTATTGGTAGACGAACCCGTTACACCCAGTTCTCCAGTAACATTACTAGCACCTTCTGGTGGCAAACTAGTATTTCCTGATGTATCGTAAACATTGTCTATACTATTGGTAAACGAACCTGTTACATCTGGTTCTACAGTAGCATTACCAAAACCTTCTGGTGGTAAACTGGTGTTTTCTGATGTATCATAGACATTATCTATACTATTGGTAGACGCACCTGTTACACCTTGTTCTCCAGTAGCATTACCAAAACCTTCTGGTTGTAAACTGGTGTTTTCTGATGTATCGTAAATATTGTCTATACTATTGGTAGACGAACCCGTTACACCCAGTTCTCCAGTAACATTACTAGCACCTTCAGTTGGTAAACTGGTGTTTTCTGATGTATCGTAAACATTGTCTAAACTATTGGTAGATAATCCTGTGACACCCAGTTCTCCAGTAACATTACTAGCACCTTCTGGTGGCAAACTAGTGTTTCCTGATAAATCGTAAACATTGTCTATAGTATTAGTAGATGAACCTGTTACATTCGGCTCGCCAGTAACATTACTAGCACCTTCCGGTGGTAAACTGGTGTTTCCTGATGTATCGTAAACATTGTCTATACTATTGGTAGACGAACCCGTTACACCCAGTTCTCCAGTAACATTACTACCACCTTCTGGTGGCAAACTAGTATTTCCTGATGTATCGTAAACATTGTCTAGATTGTTGGTAAACAAACTTGTTACACCCAGTTCTCCAGTAACATTACTAGCACCTTCTGGTGGTAAACTGGTGTTTCCTGATGTATAGTAAACATTGTCTATACTATTGGTAGACGAACCTATTACACCTGGTTCTCCAGTAACATTACTAGCACCTTCTGGTGGTAAACTGGTGTTTCCTGATGTATAGTAAACATTGTCTAGACCAATGGTAGACGAACCTGTTACACCTGGTTCTCCAGTAACATTACTAGCACCTTCTGGTGGTAAACTGGTGTTTCCTGATGTATCGTAAACATTGTCTATACTATTGGTAGATGAACCTGTTACACCTGGTTCTCCAGTAATATTACTAAAACCTTCTGGTGGTAAACTGGTGTTTCCTGATGTATCGTAATCACTAGTTGTTGGATTCGTAGCTGATATCTCTGTCATCGACGTATCGGTGATAATAATTGAAGAAAATGGAATATCTTTTCTCGTTTGATAAGTTAAGAAACTATTATGAACTGTTGTTGATGATTGTTTACTTGTAGTTGTTAGGTTATCTTCTTCTGATAAAGCGTTTGTTGCAAATATACCATAATACGATGTCGTTATTGCACCTTGTGTATCATTAGAGTATTCTGACGTGGAAGACGGAGCAAATATAGAGCTTGTAGGCTTGGTTGTCATATTTAACTTTTCTGTAATACTTGCTTTAGGATGGGTATCAGTAGAAAATTTTGTTGTGGTTGAACTTGCTGTTGTTATTAGATTTATAGGTGTGGCATATTTAATCGATGTTGTTGTAGGATTACTTGTTGTAGCTGGTTTCACGGTTGTGGAAGGATTAGCCACTGTTATAGGATTCGCTGTTGTATTTAGATTAGCTGTTGTAATTTGTTTCAATGTCGTTGTAGGATTAAGCGTTGTTTCTGATTTTATGGTTGGGGTCGTATTAGCTGTTGTGGAAGGTTTAACTGTTGTAGTTGGTTTCACTGTTTTAGTAGGTTTAGCTGTTGTTGTAGGGTTGAGTGTTGTTGTTGGTTTAGTTGTAGTTGTAGGGTTGAGTGTTTTTGTTCGTTTCATGGTAGTAGTAGTAGGTTTATCTGTTGTTGTAGGGTTGAGTGTTGTTGTTGGTTTCATGGTTGTAGTAGGTTTAACTGTTGTTGTTGGTTTCATGGTTGTGGTAGGTTTATCTGTTGTTGTGGGGTTGAGTGGTGTTGTTGGTTTCATGGTTGTGGTAGGTTTAGCTGTTGTTGTGGGGTTCACTGTTGTTGTTGGTTTCATGGTTGTGGTAGGTTTATCTGTTGTTGTGGGGTTGAGTGGTGTTGTTGGTTTCATGGTTGTGGTAGGTTTAGCTGTTGTTGTGGGGTTCACTGTTGTTGTTGGTTTCATGGTTGTGGTAGGTTTATCTGTTGTTGTGGGGTTGAGTGGTGTTGTTGGTTTCATGGTTGTGGTAGGTTTAGCTGTTGTTGTGGGGTTCACTGTTGTTGTTGGTTTCAT